TGACTCTCTTTGGGTGTTGATATTATGTTAATATATATTTTATCATTATTTGTATATCTTTCTCCTTCAACACACTGCAACTCCAAGAGGGCAAGGCCCAAGTTTTATTCATTTTTGTATCTCAGCTGCCTAACACAGTATCTTGTACCTAACAGTCATTCAACAAATGTCTGCTCAATACACATTGCTGTGATCTGAATGTTTGTGTCCCACCACCCCCAAATTCATATGTTGAATTCTAACCTCCAGGGTAATGTTATTTGAAGGTGGGGTCTCTAGGAGGTGATTAGGCCATGAGGGCTTTGTGCCCTTATAAAAGAGTCCCCAGAGACCCTTCCTACCCCTTACATCATGTGAGGTTACAACAAAAGATGGCCATCTATGAACCACCAGTTTATGGTATTTTGTTATAGCAGCCCAAATGGACTAAGACACATATATTATCCTTTACTTTACATAATAGATGCATTCTTGAAGAAAAGGGGTATTGACTATATCTTTATAAATCATATTCTCCTTTGAAATTATTTTATAATTTTCAATATAGCTTAATTTTCATTTCTAATAGCTTATCAATTGAGAATATCTTTTTGTACTTGATACTGTAATTTTCTGTGTCCCCAATTTCTCTGTCGATTAAGTGGTTCCCAAGAGGGTGGTGGTTACAGAATATGAATAAACTTTTTTATAATATTAAAATAAACATTTATTTTATGAAATCAGATGATTTCTGTAAATATATGTTTTATATTTTCCTTAAGTCTTAGCATGGTTGTATGTAATATGCTAATAGAAACGCTGAATTAAAAAAAATCCTTAGAAGATCTCAAAATCCCCAGATTAATGAAGATCAATAATGATGTGATACTCCTATGATATATGTGTGGATGGGAAGAAAAGGCACTGAATATGATTTGTAGAGATTTAAGGAATGAAGGCCAATAGGGTTCTCTCGGTCTCTCTCGGCAGCAGAATCCCTAAAATATATCTCATATAGAACTCCAACATATTAAAACAGAATTGCTGCAACTTGGAGAGAAGAAATACCAACCCATTCTCTTGGCCTCCTCTGGGCCACAAGTCATCTCTACATAATACAGTTTATCTTAAAAGTCTTTGTAACGATAGCCTTAAGACCCTCAGAATCAAAAGAGCATTAAAAGGCAAATAAGCAAGCAGATGGTATGCTGAGGTCCCATAAGTTAAGCATGAAATCGTCCTTCCTTTTTCTTCTTCTCACTTGACATTTCTCTCTTTCTCTCTTCCTTCTCCCTCATGGATCCCTCAGGCCTCATTATGAAACCACCTCACACTGCTCAGATGACTGGGTGGCATTCATTTAGAGCTGAGAAGGTTCCTGAACCCTGCCCTAAAGGTCCCAGAAGTATGTGGAGGAGGTGGGGAAGATTAGAGTATAAAGGGCCATAGATTGGTCCAAAGTGCTTATATGCCAAAGCATGTAATCAGGTTGAGGAAAAAATAGGAAGCCAAGGAATAAAAGGGATAACAATCCATCTTTGCACACCAATTATAAATCATACCTGGAATACTACTCAAAAGTAAACAATGGCCAGGTTTTAAAAATTCGGGAGAGTGATCATTTTCAAACTGACAGTATAGAAGCTGGAAAATGGTATTAGGAATGGTTAAATGCTACTACTATGCTCTACATTCCTAAAGTTATTCCTAAAGTCTAGTAAAAAGAAAACTGTTTTTCTATATGCTCTGAAAGTATGAGCAGGCACTCATTATAACATCTGGCAATTTCTTCCTTTTCTTGATCCAAAAGGAATCAAATGTACTTTTTGAAGATTGATTTTTCTATACTCATTTCTGTTTACTTGTAATTAATTTATATGAGGTTGGTACAGCACTTCCATTCTATGGGTGCTCAGTATTTGTTGAAAGAAGAATCAAATATTAGCCTTCTAAAAATATTTCAGTCCTTAAGGAAGTTAGCTTGATTTAGATTTCATACCCTGATATTGAGCTGTCACTAAGCAACAGAAATCTGTATTTTCAAGGATTGGAATTCTCTCTAAAAACTAAAGTCTAATACAAATGTCATTATTTAAGACTCCTCCCTTTGACCAGCTTAATTAGTCATGTTCTAACCTGTTCTCTTCAATTCAAAAGAAAGTCCAGAAAATAATCTGCCTTTAACTTGTCAGCAAGGTACTTACATTCAGCTAATAAAGGAATAAAGGCCAATTTGCTAATTCTGCCTTGCACAAGAGCTCGGAATAATCTTTATCCTTAAGTAATTTGTAGGTAAAAGATAATTCAGCAACCAGGACTGTGCTAAAAATGAATATAAGCATTTAAAATATTTCAACATTAGCTACCACAATTAGATTTGTAATACTGTTCTGTTTAGCTTAAAAACGTAGAAGAAAGTATAAATTCTTGGTCTGTTGCTTGGTATCTTGATTTAAGTCCTCTCCCAGGGAAGGGGTCTGGTTCATTGGGAGAGTACTCAACAGAGCCCATAGATGAGAAAGGAGAAAAGAAAATGGAGGGAGTCTGACTGAATTGTTTTGGTTTTACTCTCCAATCACTTCTTCCCTGTTTCCACTACTGTTTACTTTACTTCCCTACATTTATCACAGGTTTATCTATAGGAACAGATTTATCACAGGTTCTGTCTGTAGTCTTCTATTTCTGTTCTTTTCCTTGGTGAACTCACTAATTGCATTGTTTCAACTATCACCTCTTCATCTCTCTAGCCCCGGGCTCCTTCCTGAGCCTGTCTTGCATTTTGTATTACCAGCTGTCTTGATGTTCCACTAGCACCTCAAACTTAACATACCCAAAACCAAAATTTCCATCTTCCTAAACAAGACCTCCTGACTTACTACCTACTTCTGTTAAAGGCATTATCATTCTCGGCATCATCTTTGAATCCTATTCCTCTTTTACTTCTAATATGTGATCTGTTGCTAAGTCTTAATGACTCTACCTCCCTTAACTCACCCTATCTCTGACATCTTTTCCCTCCATATTACCATTTCTACCACTACTCCAGTACAAACGGCTATTACTTCTCATCTAGACTATTATATTAGCCTCATAACTGGTTAATAAATATTTGCTGAATGAATGCATGAAATGAAAATAAAAGGTATCCCTACTTTAGGTCTCTCACCACCCTAATCCATCCTACACAAGGGTCAGATTAATTTTCTAAAGTACAGCTCTAATCTTATTACTCTTTTACTCAAAATAGAGTTTCCTACTTCCAACATAATTAAATAAATTTTTGTTTTACAGTTAAGGTATTTCACATTAGGAGCTCTATCTATCTTTCCAAGACTACCTCTAATTCCTCTGAAACATTATCCCCTCACTGAAGCAAAGATAGACTACTCGCTTCTCCACACATACTCTATGTTCTCTCTCATCTTTTTCATTGTTATTCCTATACCTGTGACAATCCTACTTTCAATTCAGGCCTATCTCAGACAGCACCTCCTCTGCAAACCTTTCCTGACTCCCCATCTTAACGGTTTTTTCCTTTGAAACCCCTGGACACTTGACCGGTACTTCTTTTAAATAATTTATGACCTACTTTGTATTATGGCAATAAAATAAAACTTGTCTTATCCTGCATGATTTGAGAGAAGAAATGTGCTTTATTTATATCTAAATACCCTGCAGGGCCAAAAACAGTACTTTATATGACAAGTTCTCAATAAATATTTTCAGGGTAGGGAAAAGAATGAGTAAATGAAAGGGAACATACATGATATTGAGAAGAAATAAGTGATAAGGGATCTAAAACAACATACAGTGTTAACCCTTATATGTAAGAGTGGTAACCAAATTACAGCCAAACCTCATTTATACTTTTGAGCAGACTTTTTTTTTAACCATATTTCTGATGGAAATCTAAATTTATTTATTTTTATTTTAACACATATATTATGTTTTACTATGTGCCAGGCACTGTTTTAAACCTTTTATATAACATTTAATCCTTATAATTACCCTATTTTATAAATTGGGAAACTGAGGCACAGAGACTAAGCAATTTGCCCAAGGTTACAAGGTTAGTAAGTGGCAGAGCCCAGGATGTCTGACTCCAGAGACTATATATGTACCATGACTATATATTGTACCTAAAGATATATACTTCACTGATTTTAATATTTGAATAAATTGAAAACAAGGTTTTTTTCCTTGAAAGCCAAGAGTCATTACTATAACTTTGCTTTATTAAAATGTGTTACAGTACAGTGACAAACTGAGGAGGCTGTTAAGATGTAGAGGACCCCTATACGAATGGGGCCAAAATGCCCAGCTTCTGTGGCTGTTTTTTTGTTGGTAATGTTTTTGTGCTTTTTTCCCTTCATGTCACACTGTTGTTTACCACTTAGGGCTATCAATGTACCTAAAATGTCTCCATCCTCTTTTCAATTTACTTGGAACTAAGAACCAAGCTTACCAGAAACGTATTAAATAAGAGCCAACAGGGTTCTGAGGAGCTTCTTTTGTAAAGTTCCTCATGCTTTATTACAACCAATGATCCTGGGCCGGCCCCGTGGCTTAGCGGTTAAGTGCACGCGCTCCGCTGCTGGCGGCCTGGGTTCGGATCCCGGGCGCGCACCGACGCACCGCTTCTCCGGCCATGCTGAGGCCGCATCCCACATACAGCAACTAGAAGGATGTGCAGCTATGACATACAACTATCTACTGGGGCTTTGGGGAAAAATAAATAAATAAATAAATAATAAATAAACAACCAATGATCCTGTACCTTACACTGGTTTCAGGAGTGAACTCCATTAAGTGGAGGCTGTTACAAGTCTGATCCACAGATAAACCGGGCATTACTCTATAATTTCTGCTGACTGCATAAAAGAGTTATGTAAATGAGGGTCCTAAAAGCTGACAACACTCCCCCAAAAGTGGCTTATATCAGCCCAAGTTTCATTACTAGAAAATGTCATAGTGTTTCTAAGTTATAGTAACAAACAATGCATAGTTTCTCCTATTCTTACCTTTGCGCCACCCAAAAATCCCAGGGAAATGGCAACCCTAGCTCGTAGATCTGGCCTGTCTTTGGGCCACACATAAGAAAGCATTGCTTTTATGATTTTCCGAGTATCAACATCTTTTAACTGTTGAAAGAAAGAAAACAAAGCAGTAAGTAATATGTCATTTCAAATATAACTATATTTCAATAATGCAGAATCACGTAAATATTTGAGAAAAATCTGAAAACATTACAAACAATTTTTATTCTTAATCTGAGGTCAATTATCTTTCAAACTCAAACTATTTTGGAGAAAAAAAGTATTTCAATTGCTTTTAAAAAGCTACTTATTTCTCTTAATTTCTTACTTCCAACTATAGCCACCCTCATCTTGCCAAAAAGTTATTCAGTAGGGGTGAGGGGACAAGTACTATACATTTATTTGTCTATTAAGCTATCAAAACATTACATAAAATTCTGGGCTGGCCCCATGGCGTAGCGGTTAAGTGCGCGTGCTCCACTGCTGGTGGCCCAGGCCCGGATCCCGGGCGCGCACTGATGCACCACTTGTCAGGCCATGCTGTGGCGGCGTCCCATATAAAGTGGAGGAAGATGGGCACGTATGTTATCCCAGGGCCAGTCTTCCTCAGCAACAAAGAGGAGGATTGGCAGATGTTAGCTCAGGGCTGATCTTCCTCACACACACAGAAAAATTACATAAAATTTAAGAAACATTTCCATATTTCCATCTTTGTGGTCAAAATCTTTATATACTTTTGGGCTCTTTATCAATATGTTTATTTAAAATAGTTTGGAGACCTAAGTCCAAACTCATGATAGAACAGACTTACAACATAGTGTTTAGGAAAGTAGGAGTCTTGGCATTGACCAAATAGAACAGAGGTTGAGTTATTAAAAATTTTGACAAAAATAAAATTTTCCAGTCATGCTTAATCTGACCTAAATCTATCTTATATTTTTCTTTTCCCCAAGTTCCGGAGGCAACACTCCCATTAAATCTTTTTGTTTTAGTTTCAGCTTTTAGAGGCAGAATATTCAAAATCAAACCCACACTTTCTAAAGCCAAAATAAGATCAATACATATATATTCCAAAACTACTATATTATTATAGTTAGTGAAATAATCCCCATTTTAAAAACTGAAAGTATCTACCCAATTTCTGGAAAAGGTATTGAAAAGCAAACAAAAAAAGTTAACACTCGTTGGTGACGGTGTATAGAAATGAGCACTCTAATACACTATTAACAGGAGAGTACACCAAAACAATCTTTTTGGAAAGCAATTTGATACCTACCATAAGCTTTTAAAATAATTCTGCCCTTTGTCTCAAGAACTCCACTTCCGGGAACTTATGCTTTAAAAAAATACTTAAGAATATGCTCCAAGTTGAATCAATTTTACTTCCTAAAAATCTCTTGAATCTGTCTACTTCTATTTTCACCACCAACTAATCCAAGCTATCATCATTTCTCACCTAAAGCACTGTAACAACCTCCTAACTGATCTCCCTGCATCCACTCTGCTCCCTGTCCAATTAGTTCACTCTGCATCTGATATAACTCTCAGCTTAAATCCCTTCATTGGCACCCTATCACTCTTAGGATAAAGATCAAAGTCTGTAACATGACTTATGAGGCTCTGCTTGGCCTAGGCCCTGACTAGCTCTCTAGCCATGTCTTATACCACAGCTTTCAGTATTCATGCCAAACTGGCTTTATTTCAGTTCCTCAAATATGCTATAATCCCTCCTGCCACACAGCCTTTGCACAATACCCTTCACTCTGTCTGGAATAATCTCTCTCTGTAACACCAACCCGCAATCTCTTCCAACTAGTTCACTGCCAGCTCAACCAGCACTTCCTTAATGAAGTCTTCCCTAACCCCAGTCAGGATCCTCAGCCGTATTCTCTCATAGAACAGTATTCCTTTCTTCAGAGTATCCATTTCAAATATAAACCACATATACAGCAGTGTGATTATCTGATTAACATCTGCTCTCCTGCTAGAATTTAAATTCCATGTGAGTAGTTTGTGTTTTCTGCTCACTGTTGTAACTCAATACCAAATATAGTGGCTGACATGCAGTAGGAACTCAACAAATATTTATTGAACAAAGGAATGAAAAATTTAGCTGTAAGGATGTTTATCCCTTACTGTTTTAATAGGAAAAAGAATTGGAAACAGCCTAAATAATCAACAATGAAGAACCATGTAAACAAATTACAGTGACTGCATACAACAAAATACAGCCATACAGAAATATAGGTAAAGGGGTTACCAGAGGTACCAGAGGGGAAGGGGGGGTGCGGGGGTGGGTGAAAGGGGTAAAGCGACACATATGTATGATGACAGACAATAATTGGACTACTTGGGGTGAAGTAACACATTAAGGTAAAGGTACACATTAAGTGAAAAAAGCAAAGTACAAAACTTATTTTTGTGATATGTGTATAAGTTTACACATGCACACAAATGGATGTGGAAAGCAATACCCTCAAAAGTGTTAACATCAGCAGCTGTGAGTAGATGGAATCATTGACCATTTTTTATATTCTTCTTTTTGCTTGCTTGTATTTTCTGTAGTTCACATATAATGTTCACATATAATAAGAAAAAAATTTAATTCATTTTGAGAGGGAAAAGCTATACAATTTCAATTAGATCTGCACAGCAAGGAATGGGGGAAAATTGTCAACATATAAGAAACCCAGGACAACACATTATATTATACAGAGTAGTTTTATTATTTTTGAGACAACTGTAGATTCACGTGCAATTATAAGAAATGATAGAGAGACCCAGTCTACCCTTCACGCAGTTTTCTCCCAATGTCATTTTTTTCCCCCAGTAACTTTACTGAGATCATAATGGTTTATAACATTGTGTAATTTCAGGTGTACATTATTGTTGCTCAACTTCTGAGTAGACTTCATTGTGGTCACCCCAAGTAGTCCAATTATTGTCTGTCATCATACATATGTGTCGCTTTACCCCTTTCACCCACCCCGCACTCCCCCTTCCCCTCTGGTAACCACTAATCTGTTCTCTTTATCCATGTATTTGTTATATTCCACATGTGAGTGAAATCATGCAGTATTTGTCTTTCTCTTTCTGGCTTATTTCACTTAACATCATACCCTCAAGGTCCATCCATGTTGTTGCAAATGGGACAATTTTGTCTTTTTCTATGGCTGAGTAGTATTCCATTGTATATATATACCACATCTTCTTTATCCATTCATCAGTCGATGGGCACTTGGGTTGCTTCGTCTTGGCTATTGTAAATAACACTGCAATGAACACAGGGGTGCATAAATCTCTTTGGATCACTGATTTCAAGTTCTTTGGATTAATGCCCAATAGTGGGCTAGCTAGATCGTATGATATTTCTATTTTTAATTTTTTGAGAGATCTCCATACTGTTTTCCCTAGTGGCTGCACCAGTTTGCATTCCCACCAGCAGTGTATGAGGGTTCCCTTTTCTCCACATCTTCTCCAACATTTGTTGTTTTTTGTCTTGGTCATTATAGCCATTCTGACCAGTGTGAGGTGATATCTCATTGTTTTGATTTGCATTTCCCTAATAATTAGTGATGTTGAACATTGTTTCATGTGTCCGTTGGCCATCTGTATATCTTCCTTGGAAAAATGCCTGTTCATATCACCTCCCCATTTTTTGATTGGGTTGTTTTTTTGTTGCTGAGTTGTATGAGTTCTTTATATATTTTGGAGATCAACCCCTTATCCAATAAGCGATTTGCAAATATTTTCTCCCAATTGGTGGGTTGTCTTTTCGTTATGTTCATGGTTTCCTTTGCTTTGCAGAAGCTTTTTAGTCTGATGTAGTCCCATCTGTTAACTTTTTCTTTTGTTTCCCTTGCCTGGTCAGACATGGTATTTGAAAAGATGCTGCTAAGATCAATGTCAAATAATGTGCTGCCTACATCACCAGCGAGTTAAGGGCAGACACAGCCTCTTCCTGCAGTCCCCCTGGGGCACACTTCCTCTTTCAGGGCTCAGCCACACTATGTGCACTGGTAGTAGTTCTGCCGCAGACTCTGCTTGCAGTCCCTCTGGCTGCTGTGCTTGGTGGACGGGGCTTCTAGTAGGGACCCAACCAGGGCCACTCCTTGGGGCTGCAGGAGCACGGTGGGCTAACCCTCCACACTGGGACAGCGATCATCAGCAGGTTAAGGGCTGCTGCTGCCTCTTCCTACAGTCGCCCAGGGGCACGTTTTCACGTTCGGGTGCTCACACCAGGCTGGAAAGCTATCCTGTGTGTGCACGGGGCTGTTGGGGGATGGCAGGGAGTGCTCACCTATCTCCACCACTTCCAGGAGGGTCAGTCAATCCACCCTCAGATGTATAGCTGCATGTGTCTCTCTGGTGTCCTGTTGTGCTTTGTAGGCTTCTTCTGTTGGTCAATGAATGTCCATTTAGTTGTAGTTTAAAAGAGGGAGAGACAAAGGTCTCTTTTAGTCTCTTTTAGTCAGTTTATTCAACAAAGAAGAACAGAAATAAAACTGTTCATACTGTACTGAAAACAGGACTACCTTCTTGAGTTGCTTTAAATACATAAGATGGCAAAAACTTTAAATGCTGCAAGTACAGGCCTTTTTTTTATTGAGGTTACATTGGTTTATAAAATGATATAGATTTCAGGTCTACATCTTTATAACTGGACTTCTGTACACACTAAATTGTGTTCACAACCAGAAGTTTAGTTTCCATCTGCCACCGGACAAAGGACCCCTTTTACCCATTTCCCCCTCCCCCACATCCTTTCCCTCTGGTAACCACGAATCTGTTCTCTGTATCTATGTGTTTCTTTTCTATTCTTCCACATGGATGAAATCGTACAATATTTTTGTATTTCTCTGCCTGACCTTGAGATCCATCCATGTTGTTGCAAATGCCAAGATTTCATTTTTCTTATGTTATCTTCTTTATCCATTCATCTATTCGTGGGCACTTAGGTTGTTTCCATCTCTTGGCTATTGTAAATAATGCTGCAACGAACATAGAGGTATTGATAACTTTCAAATTAGTGCTTTCATATTCTTTGGATAAATACCCAGAAGTGGAATAGCTGGATCTATTCTTAATATTTTGAGAAATCTACA